TGATGGAGAATATATCATTGATTAAAGTTAATTATCTTGTGAATAAAATAAATTTACATTTTGAATCAAAAATGAGCATTACTTTTTTGGGGCCCTGATATAATGTTTAGTTCTCATACTTTTTGTTGCTACTATTATTTTTAATAATTTAACATATTCTATATACATATTATAGCATAGTATTTAATTCATGATTGTAACATGAATTATTATATTAATTGTGTAAAAAAGTAGAGTTAACAGCATTTCGAAAATCCAAAAATATCCAAGGTAACTAACCCTACCAAACTTATAAAAGGTAATTAATGTCTTAACAATTGATTACATGAGTTGCGCTTATCTATTGCTTTGACAACTATTTCTTGTGTATTATTTTTATGACGATATTTTGTACTTTGATTTCTAAGAATTGCCAAACATTTACAAGTATTTTATATTTTATCATTTTTAAAAATACACAATTCATTAAATTAAATAATGTAATGAATTTTACGATTATTGACCAGCAAAATGAATGCCAATAATAATACTGAAATTGTTTGTATGGTTTGTGGCGGAACTAAAACTATTGGTAAATATTTTGTGCTTAAATTCAATGTTTATAATTAATTCACATAATATTTACCCCATATTTAGGCCGACATTTCACAGCAATTACTTGCGATTCGTGTAAAACATTTTTCAGGAGAAATGCATTCAAAGAAAATGTTTGTTAGAAAAACAATAATTGAATATTATTTTAATTAATTAATTTAAATAGCAATTGAAATGCGGTTTTGAAGGCAAATGTAATATCACTCCCAATACAAGAAAGTATTGCCAAAAATGTAGACTTAATAAGTGTTTTGCGGTCGGAATGAGAAAAGTAATCATCATTTTATTTCTATCATTGAATTAATTGTTAAAAATATTTATATTTTTCATTAATTTTAGGAAATAATGAATTCAGACGATGAAAATAAAAGGAGACGACAATTGATTGCAGAAAATAAGCAAAAATCTAAACAAAGTATTCAAACAAATTCTGTACACAATATACCGGAGTTGGACTCAAACGACACCAAAATCTCTGACCAAACTGTTGGCCAAGAAGTCGATGATCTCATTGACAGTACATTCTATATAACGGATATCGCATTGAATAAACAGATACTGGAAATTGAAAACACATTAAACAAAGATTATACTAATGATGAGAATATAATACAAAACTCATTGCCATTACAATTGGTTCCCGTATTCAAAG